TTTCTTTGGAACTTTGAACTTGACTCTTAGGAGTCATCCAGCATCACTAAGCTATGATGACTCCAGAAGCACTCTGCTTTCAAACCTATTCCCCATGGCTCTCATGGGACTGGGAGCTGCCGAGGGCAATGCTGTGTCTCTCCATTTCCCCTCTGGTCCCCCAATGTCTTTCATAGCAGAGGTCTCTACCACTGAAGTTCAATTATCTGAAGGCCCATGAAAGAGGAAATTGGGGGCGGGGGGGGGGGTATGACTTCTTTTGTTGTTGGTTTTGAACTCATGTATATAGACAAGTTCTCTACTTCTTGACCCAAGTGCCTAGTCCTTTCATTTGTTTTATCTTGTAAAAGCCAACTTAAAAATGTTTGGTTCTGGCCTAGCGCTGGTGGCTCACGCCTCTAATCAAGGCTGAGATCTGAGGATCACGGTTCAAAGCCAGCCTAGGCAGGAAAGTCCATGAGACTCTTATTTCCAATTAACCACCAGAAAACCAGCTCAAGTGGTAGAGCACTAGCCTTAAGCTGAAGAGTGCAGGGACAGCGTCCAGGCCCCATGACCAACCAAAAAAAAAAGTTTGGTTCTGTTTTCTTACTGTACAGGCGCTGAAGCTTGAACTTGGAGCCTGGGCACTGTTCCTTAGCTCTTTTCCACTCAAGGCTGGCACTTTCCCACTTGAGCCACAACTCTACTTCTGGCTTATTTGCTGGTTAAGTGGAATTAAAAATCTCATGGACTTTACTGCCTGGGCTAGCTTCAAACTGAAATTCTCTGATCTCAACCTCCTGAGTAGCAAGAACAGACATGAGCCACTGGTGCCTAGCTTGAAAACATTTTTTGTTTTGGCGAGGCCTGTGAATGAACTAAAGCTAGATACTATCACCCACCCTGACTTTGTCCTTTGCTCTGAGTCATTTTCTCCTGCAGTCATTTTATAAGTACCTTAGGCCTCAAGAAGAAGAGATTCACCAATAAGCATGTTAAGACAATAGCAAACTGCCCCTCAACAATCTTCTTATCATCTGGAAGAAAACAGTCAAATGTTATAGGCTTCCTGACAGGTATCTAGAGTCAAAGGCTGAGCTAAAGACCAGTCAAGCTACACCTGCGGGTTGACACTGTCTTAACAATGCCTACCCTTCTCACCCTCTGCCCCCAAATCTCCCTATTTAAGCTGAGGCTGACTGAAGATTACTGAAGTACTGTCTTCCCATGCTGCCATGTAATAAATCTTTCTCTGCTGTGTCTCTGTAACTTGGCATATGGAAGGGAGTAGCCAGACCTAACAGGGGACCCCTGGACTTTGGGTGTGGGATCTAAAATCCAGTTTTAGGCAGGCAGGCCTCTCAGCCTAATCCTCTTGCTGAGGACTCCTGTAGTAGGAATTACAGATGTGTGTCCCTACTATGCTTTTTTTTGGGGGGGGAGGGGGGAGAGGCGGGCAGGGAGATGGGAGTTGCTGAGGATGAATCCCAGGGCTTCGCAAATGCAAAGGCACTGCTCTACGGCTTCTTCTAAGTATTTTGAAACTAACAGAAAATTCTATATCATAATCAGGCTTTGCAGACGAATTAAGTAATTGGATTTGCTTGCGTCTGAAATGATGTCATCTAGAATGGTAACAATTAGCTAGCCCACATGCTTAAACAAAAAGACCTGGATGTTTTTCTTTGATGAATTTTTAAAAAGTAAAAACAAAGGAGCACTTAGCCTCGATAAACACAGGTTGCCAGCAGCTGGCAGGTCCAGGAACGCCATCCCACACCACCCCCCTCAAGAGAATGCCCAGGGGAAGAGGGGCCACCTGGTTAGGCCAGGCTCCAGCTGCAAACCTGCTGTTCCTTCCTCCCCCGGCACGGTAGAGGAGCCAGACGCTGCCTTCTGGAAATGCCAGAGTCTGGAAACACTCACTGTCTCTTAATTACACACTTTACCATACATGGGAATTACTCAGTGCTGACGTCAGACACATTCCTGGGGAACTGTGTAGTACAAGCCACGTCATTACCATATAAATTCCTGACAACTGGAGACAGCAGGCGACTGACTGCCTGTCAGGGCTGTAGACCCTCCATTCCTTTTCCCCAAGCAGCAGCAACAGTAGCTCTCTCTCTCTCTCTCTCTCTCTCTCTCTCTCTCTCTCTCTCTCTCTCTCTCTCGCTCACTCCACCCTGCCTCTGGCTCTCTCTCTCTCTTCCTCTCTTGCTCTTTTCCAGGCTTTTTTTCCCCTGCAAGGCTGGTCCCAAAACTCAAACATGCATCAGGTCTGCTGGAAAACAGCAGGATTCCTTCCCTCTCCTGCCCAGCCACACCGCAAGAGTGAAAACCTAAAGACTGGATTTTCCAACTCTGACCACATCCATGCCCAAACCACAAAGTTCTATCTGCCTTTACATCATCAGTAAGCCACTGCAGAGCTGTCTTCTACAGTTAATGTTTCACAAATGACAGCCGTTTCCAGAGGGAGCTGACCTGGAAAGAAAGAAAAAAAGAGGGAGACGGTAAAGAAATAATACCAGGTTATAGGAGCAGTCCGTCTCTGCTTGAACAGGGACTGCACGAGGCGACCAGCTGCTGTCCTGGGCAAGTTCCTAACTCCACCTCAGAGCCTTGGTTTCTTCATTAGCCAGCAGCAGCAAGCACCTACTCACCCCATAAATTGTCAAGATAATACACGTGAAGGAATTAGCACCTGCCCAGAACACAACGAGTGCAGATAGCTGATACTATTATCTTCAGGAGAGACCAGTTCTGACTCTCATGGCTGGTTTTTATAGCTCGGTATTTGCCACTGGGTCTGCATAATAGGAAACTACAGACTTGGAGGAATCCTTTCGCTGCTGGCATCTCTTTGGATCTCCAAAATGTTTAATGCTTGCATCTTTACAGGCCCCTAGCAAGTCAACTTCTCACCCAGAATCAGGCTTGCATAAACTAGCAGCCTACAGGAAAGCCTTCCAATCAGGAAATCCACAATGAATAAAAACTTTACCTGTTTGTAATCACTACCTAAATGAAAAACCTGCCTGGCAACTATTAGCAAAATTTATTAATATCCAGTAAGGTAATTCAGCTGAAAGGCCATTCCTACAAATGTTCATTTGTTGTGTTTAAAAAAAAAATTTTTTTTTAATCCAGTCTTACTAGGTAACTCAGACTGGACTCTAACTTGCTTTGTAGCCCAGGCTGGACTTGAACTTGTGTTCCTCCAGTCTCAACTTCCTGGGAATAACAGGCATGAGTCTAGCCACCTGGCTTCATTCACCCAGTGTTTACTAATCACCAATCAAATCAACATTACCTAAGCTGTAATTCTGGCTCTGGGAAGACTGAATTACTAAAGAGAATACGTGGGCTAGGAGGGCAGGTGCTAGGAGCAAAGAATCCAGGATACCCTTGGTTTTCACTCTGCTTAGCAGGCCAGTCAGAGCTCCTGGGCCTGCTTTTCTGTTCCTCCTGCACCCTCTCCACACCCAGACCCTGCTCCCCACTCCCTAGGCATGGAGGCCTCAGGAACAGTGCCTCTGGCCAAGGCCAACACCACACCCTGTGCAAGATAAACTTCCTTTTCTGTCAGATTGTCTCCATCCTGGCTATCATCACCTAGGAGAGGGTCCTTCACAGGGAGACGCAGAAGCTCCAGCCTGCACTCTGCAGTGAGGAGGACATAAAAATGCAAACAGCAGTCTAGGGTTCAGGTCAGACTCTCCAAAGGTGTGGCTGGGCAGCGGGAGGCAGCACGTGAGTGAACACCAGGAAAACTCAGTACCCAATTGTCAAGTTCCACCTGTTGGCAATCCCCAGATGGTCTGAGGAACGGAGGCCACTCGGTTTGCCCCAGAAAGGGGAGAGGGGAGGACAGAAGGCAGCGGTACTTGAGCACAATCCTGTGGAAAGGCTTTTGTAATGCTAGCACCAAATACCCACTCAGAAACTGAGGCAGGGAAAAGTAAGTGATCACCTGTTCAAGGTCAGTGGTGTAGGGCCAAGGCAAATCTAAGAGTCAGCCTGCCAGCCTTCAAGACCCTCCTCAGGATAAAACTTTTCTACTGGGCTTCTCAGAGCCGCAGGAGTGGTATTCCAAGACACTGACCACGGAGAAGGTAGTGGGAGACCTGCCTATTCAATCACCCCCAGGGGAACAGGGGTTCAGGCTGGAGCCCCCCACTTTAGGGAGGGCACCCCCGACCTCCACCCGGTGATAACAGAGGAGCCTGAAGTGTGCAGATCGCGGCCAAGTTGTAGCCACCAGGTGAATCATCTGCCCCGTCACCTGCCCTCGCCACCAGGTAAAACACCTGTCCGGGTGTGTTGTTCACACACTGCAAGGTGCTCGACTGTGCTCATCGTGGGCACCCATCTCCACCCCAGCCTTCAAGCCACGGAACAGTCCCTGTAGCTCTTCCATGTTTGAGTCATGGGGTCCCCACCTGGCACCAAGACCTGGGAGGAGAGGAAGGGAGGTGAAACCATGCAGTTTTCATCTCTCTCTTTTTAAGAAAAGGAAAACCCGCACCTGCGCTCTGGGCCCCCCCGAGGCCCAAGACCACGCCCACAGGGCCAGATGTTTCCCCAGTCCCCCGGGCGCGGGCACGTTCCGCCTGCGAGAGGAGGGCCAGGGAGGGGGTGGCACGGATGCCCTCATCTCTCGGCCATACAAAGGGCGTCAGTGCCCCGCAGAATCGCCGATTGTTCTGCCCGACCTGCAGGCAGCGGGGAGAGCCGGGTCGCCCTGGGTCAGGGCCCCCCCGCGGATGCCAACGTGGGGTCCCCGAAGCCCCGGCTTGGGGAGGGGCGCGGCGCTTTCTGGAACGAGGGGATCGGCCCGCGCCGGCCTCGTCCCGCGGTTCCTCCGGGGTGACTTTTCCTCCAAACTTTTCTGACGGCCGCGGGCGGGGGCGCCCCGGGGAGCGCGCGCAGGGCCGGGGCCGGGGCCGGGCGGTGGCCGGGAAGGGGGCGCCGCCGAGGACCCCGCGCGGGGCGGCGGCGGGGGGCGCACTCACCTGGCGGCGGCGGAGCGACGGCGGGCGCTCGGGAAGCCGGGGCTGCGTGCACCCCACCGCGCGCGCGCGCGCCGTTTTGTTCCGCTCCGGGAAGGCGTGTCCCGCGCCGCGCCAACCAGCGGGCTTTGCACACCGCACTGCACAGGGCTGATGTCACGGCGAGGAGCCCGGCGGCCCGGTCCCCGCCCAGACCCGGCTTCCCGGCCCCCCGGGCTGGAGACGCCGACTCCCGGGCTTCCGCAGAGCCCCGCAGCCGCCCCACTGTGCGCCCCGCGTCCCGGGGACGCGGCCTTGCACGTGCGAGGGGCCAGATGGAAGGTGGAGACGGAATCTGGGAGGCCGGGACCATGATCAACTCGCACCCCGGAGGAGGAGGGGCAAGGGTCTCTCAACTTGTGTGTCCTGCTGGTCGCATCTAAGGGTGCAAGTGGAGCCCTTACAAGGCAGGTCTGTCCTGTCGCTTTGTCCCTTCTACTTAGGAGCCCCGACAACCCCGGCTGGTGCCACAGTCACCTGTGAAACGATTATGAGCCATCGCCATGTAATGGGGGGGGGGGGGAGTAATAGTAAGCCCTAGTATCCTGGGGGCCAGTGGTTCGTGCCTGTCATCCTAGGAAATCAGGGGGTTCCGATCTGAGGATTTGAAAGACTGAAGCCAGTGGGGACAGACAGATATTCCTGAGATTCTTATTTCCAGTTTATCAACACACACACACACACACACACAAAATAGAAATAAAAACAATAGACCAGAAAACCTTTCTCAGTGCCCAGCATAGGCAGACAATAAATAAACCCCTCTTCCTACTGCTCCTGTGGCCTCAAGCCACATTTCCTAAACCTAAAAGAAATACCACATCACCCACTAGGCATAGCTCTTAGGAGGCTGAGGCTAGAGGATCTCCAGCTCAAGGTCAGCCTGGGCTAGACTGACACCATCTGGGACAGCCTAGAATAAGAAGCAAGACCCAGTCACAAGTCAAAACAACAAAACAGCAGAACTCCAATCCGTGTCAGACACCAGGAGCTGGCTGCCCAAAGAGGGTGACCCTTGGCTGGGGGAGGGGAGAAGAAGGGGAGGCAAGCATTCCCCTGTCCTTTCTGTACTCCATATCCTGGAGAGCTGAGTCTTGGAGCTTTGCCCAAGACTTCACAAAAGAGCACAGGCCTGCATTTCCTTCTTTGGTGTGCGTTTGTCTTCTCTGATTGCCGGTCTGTGGATGGAGTTCCCCTTGAAGGTATGCCAGTCTGTTCTGTGAAATGTCCTTAGGAAGGTCTACAGAAGGAAATGCTAAATAACTCAGGCACACTTGGAACTTAAAATACCTTGTAAGTAGAGTGGCTGTGCAATGCATCACTGGAACTGGAATCGTTTCAAAGGTGTTTTGACAACTATACTTAAGACAACACAATCATCTCAGGCAAGCCAGAGAGTGTGCCTGTGTGGTAACTCTGCTTATCCACCAGAGACCCAGTCAGTGCACATATCCCATGAGCTAGCTGCACAGACTTACAGATAAAGGACGCCAGACAGACCCTGCGCTCTCTGCTGTTTCCAAGAACCTGACATCTGCTTCCATCACCCTTCCTGTGTCTGGTGCCTATCTGAGCTTAGCCTTCCATAGCCCATTTGTAGATAAAGAAAACTTCGGAAAACTGGGCTCCAGTGGTTCGTGCCTATAGCCCTAGTTACTCTGGAGGCTGTGATCTGATTATTACAATTTGAATCCAGCCCAGGCAAGAAAGTCTATGAGACTCTTCTCTCTGATTAACCACCAGAAAACCAGAAATGGGGCTTTGGCTTCAAGTGGTAGAGTGCTAGCTAGCCTTGAGCTAAAGAGCTCCCAGGCCCTGAGTTCAAGCTCCATGACTAACAACAGCTACAAAAAGGTGAAAGCCTCCAGGCCATGAGCTCAAGCCCCAGTATCAACACACACACACACATGCAAGTGAGCAAAGAAAAAGAATACTTTGGGATTGAGTCAGGGGCGATGCTAGGGTTTCCAGCACACAAAGGCCTTGAACGCACAGCACCATCCATTGCGGGACGTCCCACATGCCTAAATTTCCTGAGGGTGGAGATACTCTGGCAGATTTCAGGTATATAACTGGCTCCATTCAGCCTCAAACACCCACATTGGCAGAGATGAAGCAGCCAGGAAGTGCTCAGTACCAAGAGACTTTCTGTTTGGGCCTCTATTGCCTTTTTTTTTTTTTTTTTGCCATCTCCTCCCTTCCCTCCCCCATACACCCTACATCACATCTTTTCTCTCCTTCCTGTTGCAAAGTGTTTCTCTGGCCCCCTGATCCCAGATGAGAGGCACCTGAATGCCAGGCGAAGGGAGAGATGAGAGGCGGGGCTCATCACTGCCAGTCATAGAGATGAGAGGCGGGGCTGATCACTGCCAGTCATACCAGAGCACTCAGAGATTGTGCTGACCAAGATTTCTCACATCTTCAGCATCTCTCTGTTTATATGGGCATCCATCCATCCATCCATCCATCCATCTCTCCATCCATCCAGTCACTCAGCAGACATTCACTAACGTTACTCTGTGTTAGTTGCACAGTGCTGGTGCTAGGATACAGGGAAACGTATGACTTGGATTCTGACCTCAGTGAGCTTGCAATCTTAAGCACGATCAGGACAATGAGGGAAGGAATATAGAGTTCACTGGGTAGGCAGTAGATGATTTATGCTTTAACAATGGATGATTAATTCTTCTTCTTGGGGGCAAGGCAGAGGATCAAGAGAAATGACTCAGTCACCCAGCATGCTAAGGGAAGGAGTGAGATCTTGGAACAACATGGTCAACTAAGGACCTGCATGGTCATCAACAGAGCTGACCCCTAGAATGAAAAGACAGAGTGAGTTCCCCTAGAATGAAAAGAGAGTTCCGTAAGAAATGGATCCAGCCAGTAGGCAGGGACCAAGAAAACCATTGTAAACCATTTGAAAGGGGCGAATGTTCCTGAATACAACGGGAATGTTGAAGAAATTTAAACAGAAAATGACATGATCAGGTTTTGCATTTTAGGATATGACTATAATTTGCAATGAGGCTGGACGAGACGTTGAATGAGAGGGAAGTTGGCACCAGCAGACTGTTAACAGTCCAAGAGAATAATGGCTGGCCTGCGTAGCCCAGGGAACAGAAATGTGAAGATGGGAGAATTATTGAAGAGGCAGAATTTGCCAGGTCTGAATACCAGTGGTGTCTGGGATTGGAGTACAGTCTGCATCAAAAGGGAAGGAGGAAACTGAGAAAGAATGGCAGGGATCTAGGGGCAACAACTTGGACTCGAAGGCCAAGAAAGAGGAGGTTCAGGGAGAAGGAGATTGTGATGTACAAGGCCCAGCCTCCATTTTGTCTTGTGCCAGGAGAGACCTAGAGCATGTGAAGAGAGGCCTAGGGGAGAAAAAGAGTGGAAGGATCAAGAAAAGTAAAGGTGGGTGGTTTATGACATTTAGTACTTCTTGCTACAGGGTTATTTGTCCCTTTACTACTAAGCCATTTACATTTACTACTGGCCCTTCACATATCCCTGTGTGACCTGTCCTCCTGCCTCTTCTCCCCCTCCCCCCAAAATTCTTCTTGGTGAGGCTAACGAAATGAATTTGGGCTGGGCACCGGTGGCTCACGCCTATAATCCTAGCTACTCAAGAGGCTGAGATCTGAGATTCCAGGTTCAAAGCCAGCCTGGGCAGAAAAGGTCTGTGAGACTCTTATCTCCAATAAACCACCAGAAAACCAGAAGTGGTGCTGTGGCTCAAGTGGTAGAGCACTGGCCTTGAGCTGAAGAGCTGAGGGACAGCGCCCAGACCCAGAGTTCAAGCCCCATGACCAACAAAAAAGAAAGAAAGAAAGGAAGAAAGAAAGAAAGAAAGAAAGAAGGAAAGAAATGAATTTGGAGTCAGGTGCTAGTGGCTCATACCTGTAGTTATAGCTACTAAGGAGGCTGAGATCTGAGGATTCACAGTTCAAAGCCAGCTTGGGCAGAAAAGTCCAAGTGACTCCTATCTCCAGTTAACCAAAAGAGTTGAAAGTGGAGCTGTGACTCAAATGATAGGCACTAGCCTTGAACACAAAAGTTCAGAGATATCACCCAGGCCTAAGTTCAAGCTTCAGAACCAGCACTAAATAAAGAGAGAGAGAGGCAGGGAGGGAAGGAAGGATAGAAGGAAGGAAGGAAGAAAGGAAGGAAGGAAGGAAGGAAGGAAGGAAGGAAGGAAGGAAGGAAAGAAAGAAAAGAAAGAAGGATGAAAGGGAAGAATGGGAAGGAAGGAAGGAAGTTGGGAGATGTTAATTCCAGAAGTAAAAATCTCCGCACAGTTAGGATCTTTTTCATCAGACCCTCCCCGGCTTCCCAGGAGTATTCAGAACCATTTCACAGCTGAAACAGACCCCAGAGGAGAGAATAGCCACTGAGATCACCAGCAACCTCGAAAGGATCTGGCCCCAAACTAGCAATTTGCATGTCAACCCTATCATTATATCATTAGTCATTTAAAATACTGTTAAGGCCAGGCACCAATGGTATACACACACATATACACACACACACAGAGCCAGAAGCAGAGCTTTGGCTCAAGTGGTAGAATACTACCCAGGCCCTGAGTTCAAGCTCTAGGACTGGCACACGCGCGCGCGCACACACACACACACACACACAAATACTAAAAGTCAGGCACGGTTGTCCATGTGTACATGTCTGCCAGCTTAGCAACACATGAGGTAGAGGTAGAGGATCATGGTCTGAGGCTGACTCTGCGAAATGGAGATCTTACTTGAAGAACAAGCTAAAGCAAAAAAGAGGGACGAGCTTCAGGCAGGGCTCAAGTGGTATAGCACCTGCCTAAGAATCATGAGGACCAGAACTCAAACCCTAGTACTGCATACGTGTGTGTCTGTCTGGGTATGTATATACATATATTGTGTTTACACACACACACACACACACACACACACACACACACACACCACAGTCCCCACGTGATGTCAGGACTAGTATTGCATGTGAGGAAATGGAGGAATGGAACAGTGGCTGTGTGACCCCAATCCAGACTGCAGCTCTAGGCAGGCATGCAATGGAA